TTCTCAAGGACGAAATGAAGCTTTTCAATTATTTTGGAACACACATCAACAAGGACGTAAGATGAAAAAAAGGTGAGCATAAAAGGCGAGAGAGGTTCGTATATATATATATATATAGAACGCCCTGGAACAAATTGAAGGCAGAGACAGGAATTGGTTTTATTTTTTTTTCCCCGTTACTTGTCCGGTGATGATGTCGCAGCGACGCTTGATGCTCAATAGGTCCCCGGCGCTCAAGGAGACTCCCGCCGGTGGGATCGAGTCCCAAGAGTAACCCCTCGTCAGGGGTTCGTCATTGAAGGCGTCAGAGCTGACAGACGAGTCGACGATGGCCCCCTGCTGCTGCTGCTGCTGCTGGAACACGCTGGTTCGACTGACTTGCATGGAGTCGGGCCAACTGCTGCCGGCCCAGGACCCGGCCTTCAGGTCGAACCCAAGCATGAATTTTGTCGCGTCCAGGGAACTCGGGGTCTTTTCGGCGAGTAGCTTTTCCAGGCATTGCCAACCGGATGTGGTCTTGGCCATGCAAACGAACTGCACGTGCTTATTTCCGTGCAAGTCCGGCTCGGTTGTCTTGAGGGATTCGCACGGCTTCTTCAGCGAAGATCTCAGCTCAGTATTATGCCTGCTTGTGGAAGGGTAATTAGCAAACTTTAGATTTCGATAAAACAAATGACTCGACATCATGTGTCTTATGCAGCTGGAAAAGAAGCGAAAACTCCGATCATAACAAAATAAATTTAAATCTGCCTCACTGTACAAACTCAAATTATTTTTGTTTTTCCGCCATATCTCAATGCCTTCAGGGTATAATCTTCCAATTACAAAATTGTACGATTACTGTACTTCCTTTTGCTCAGCTACTTCTAATCACATTACCTGAGATTGGTGTTTTAAAAAGTAAGTTGCCAATTGGGTTAGATAAAGTCGAACCTCTTGAAGTCGAATTTCAAGATACCTGCAAAAGAACTAGAATTAGGAAGGTGTTCAACCAATTTTCTTGAGAGAAAAGAAAAGGAATTGCAGGAAATAGTAGCTGGTGATGATCTGGGCATACAATTCTTGAATGAGTTGACAGGATGCTGAACTTGGAGGAAAGGGTTCATTTTCCCAAATTGTATATAGCCTTCCACTTCTTTTCAAAAAACATTCGTAACTTTTTGAGTCATTTTCTCTCTCCTGTGTCAATAAAAGAATAGCCGAAAAGAATCCGAAAATTTAAGCTACAGCTACAGGTTTGAGCTAGAGGAGACGTCTTCGAGTTTGAGGATTTCAATGCATTTTTTTCTAAAGGAAGTCGGACGTCAGGGGCTTGAAAAAATTGAAATATGTAGTTATTTGAATTAGATTTGAGTTTTCGAGGTTCAGCTGTACCTAAGTTACGGTCAGGGAACTTTGCATCGTTTGAAATTTTTGTGACACCTACGTCAGATTCTATTATCACATTTGCTCAGATATAATCAGAATCTAAGTAGAAAAGTAACATTTCAATGATAGATCTGTTGCAAGATTTAGAGGACGGAACCACTAAATCTTGAAAAGGAATGACTAGGAATGCTAGGTTGATAAAAGGATCCTCAGTCAGTTTTCTAACATTGATATAAAACCTAAGAAAGCTCCGAGCATGGATCAGTTTCGCGGCATTCATTTTGAAATGGGGTTGAATTAATGCAAATATGTCAAATTTATCTTGCTTTGGTCATTAGAAAAATATGCCGAGGTATTGAAGACATTTCAATCACACAGCAAACTCTCAAAAACTACGTCTGCTGGAAACTTCAATGAATTGGGTCCTTCTTTGCATTAAATTTTCTCTTTCGAAATTTAGATTTTTAGTAGAATTCAATTTAATCTGGACAGTAACAATTTAGTGAATACCTATTAAATTTCGCTTGCTTCAGAAGAATATGCCGAAGTATTAAAATAGTCAATCAGACTAAGATATTTCAAAAATATGTCTGCAGGTTAGTTATCTGAATTGATGTTCTTCTCATATATCACCAAATTTTCTCTCTCGTAATATGAGTTTCCTGCACACAAACGTTATTCGCATATGTTCCTCACGTGTCATTTGGACAGCAGGAAGTGGATGAGGTTTTCTTGCGATTTCCAGTCGCAGAACTGACCATTGCATTGACCAGTACTTGCAAAGAATTATGAAGTTCACTCAGGGGATGTGTAATAGATTTGAAGAGTTCAGGACTGCGGTTTTTCTTGACCGTAATATCAGCTACCCCAGCTGACCCCCGTTTTCGCGATCGAAGTGAGCCTCTAACATTTTGATTCGGGTTCGGGGAAATGGGTTCGTCGTTGGAGTCATTCCTTTTCGGACCCGAGGACATCCTTCCATTGATTTGTTTTCCCTCTGGTAACGGACAATCGAGCTGAAGGATAGATGGAACATTTGTCATGATCCAGTCGAAAATGCCTTGCTTGTGGCAAAGATCGGAGGCACTGCTGGGTTTGATAGTTGGGACACAGATGCGCTGAGGAACGCATTTGCGTTTTTTACTTTTTCTCGGTTTTCTGGGCATCCAGACTTGCTGACCAGCGTCTGAAACTATAAAGGGACAACTTGGAATAAAACATGACACGAGCCGAAGCACACATATACAGTATTATTTTTAAAATAATTATCTTCTTTTCGCTTCAGTCGTAAACCCTCTGATCTTTTTTACACTCAACTGATAAGAAAACAAAGAATTTATCCTCAATGTGGTTTCTGATTTCTCTTCTGCCCGTTCTTCGTTTCCAAAAATTAATTCTTTGTCAAAATTTCATTTTGTCTCAGTTAATTCCTCGATCGACATGCCCTTGCTTCACGAACTTTGCATGCAGAGAACATTAGGCGCATTTGCAGTATTTTAGTAAATATTGTTCTAAAAAAAAGACTAGAAATGATATGAATATGAAGATTCTTCTCTTGAATAATACTGTTATAGGTTTTCTTCGTCTTTGCAAGACCGACTCATCCGTGAAAATTTAAATTAAGCAAGCTCGCGTCTTCATTTCCATCCTAGCGAATGATGAGGAACCAGTTGGAATAAACTTTAATGCGTAACTCGATCCTTCAAATAGTTGAGAACGAAAACAAATATCGAATTTGTCACAGGAAGGTTCAGTAACGATGAAATCTGCTTTACACCAGTAGCGTTCAGAAATTAGCATATCTCATGGTGAGGTTTATGCGTGACCTCGAACTTTCTGAATCAGAAGGAGTTATATCATCTCCAACGTCCTTGAAAATAATAAAAGTTGCTGACATTCATTTTTCAATGTAAAACTGAAGAGTATACGAGAGACAATTCATCGAATGCATCAATGCTTTGTGAAAATATTCAGGAAAAAGAAGATTCATTTTTAACTGACGCGCACTTCTGTTGAGAAAAAATGAAATCTTTAGAAACATGGAATTAGTCAATTAATGGATGGGCTGAAGACGACAGGCCAAGGGGAAGAGCAAGTACTGTATTTCTATACATACATAAATAAATATATATATATATATATAGAAATACATTACTTGCTTTATATATATATACTGTATAAGCTAAAGATCCCTAAAATTTGCATGAAATTGCGCTTCACCACGTCATTTCATTTTTTAAAATACGCCGAAGAAAAAAGTTGTGAATTTTCCCCGCATTTCGCATTATATTACCAAGTGGTGAACTGGTGATGAAGTTTGCAGGCCCCATATAAAATTCTTCGCGGCGGAGTACTTCTCAAAACATTCCTCTAAAAATGTAGATACAGTATACTGTACTTTAATAGCTTCGTTAAGAAAATTCTTGAGATGGAAAAGAGTTTGTTTCTTCAACCCAGCTCAACTCACACTTCTTTGTTTCAAAGGCGACAACATCTTCAGGACTCGAGGGTTGGATCGACACCTTCTCCGATTCAACCGAAGTGTCGGTTTCGAAGTCGTCTTCGTTGACCTGGACCTCTTCAGATTCCTGGTCAATCGGGGTCGGAGGCTGGGTCGGAACCGGTGACGTCTTTCTCGAGAGCATTTCCTTCAAGACTGGAGATGCGATCGGCATCGGTGACGTCTTTCTCGACAGCATTTCCTTCTTGACTGGAGATTCGATCGGCATCGGAGACGACATTTTCGCGCTCATTACTTTCGGCGTTTCCGACGCCTCGACAGCCGTCGAGATTCGCACTTTCTGAATTGTATTGTTCTCTGTCGAGATTTTCGGCTTATTCCCTCGCTTCGGCGTGATGCTGCAATTAATGCCGATCCTGCTGTTGGTTTGCTGCACGACTGGGGCGCATTTGACGTCGTTTCTCATTTTAGGGCTTCCAGTTCGGGAATACTGGACACCACAGTCACGAACGAGTGACGACCGGCTTATTTTTGGACTAGGTTTGATGGAATACTGGACTTCGGCGTCATTCTNGTTGCTGACATTCATTTTTCAATGTAAAACTGAAGAGTATACGAGAGACAATTCATCGAATGCATCAATGCTTTGTGAAAATATTCAGGAAAAAGAAGATTCATTTTTAACTGACGCGCACTTCTGTCGAGAAAAAATAAAATCTTTAGAAACATGGAATTAGTCAATTAATGGATGGGCTGAAGACGACAGGCCAAGGGGAAGAGCAAGTACTGTATTTCTATACATACATAAATAAATATATATATATAGAAATACATTACTTGCTTTATATATATATAAGCTAAAGATCCCTAAAATTTGCATGAAATTGCGCTTCACCACGTCATTTCATTTTTTAAATTACGCCGAAGAAAAAAGTTGTGAATTTTCCCCGCATTTCGCATTATATTACCAAGTGGTGAACTGGTGATGAAGTTTGCAGGCCCCATATAAAATTCTTCGTGGCGGAGTACTTCTCAAAACATTTCTCTAAAAATGTAGATACAGTATACTGTACTGTAATAGCTTCGTTAAGAAAATTCTTGAGATGGAAAAGAGTTTGTTTCTTCAACCCAGCTCAACTCACACTTCTTTGTTTCAAAGGCGACAACATCTTCAGGACTCGAGGGTTGGATCGACACCTTCTAGCACTTTCTGAATTGTATTGTTCTCTGTCGAGATTTTCGGCTTATTCCCTCGCTTCGGCGTGATGCTGCAATTAATGCCGATCCTGCTGTTGGTTTGCTGCACGACTGGGGCGCATTTGACGTCGTTTCTCATTTTAGGGCTTCCAGTTCGGGAATACTGGACACCACAGTCACGAACGAGTGACGACCGGCTTATTTTTGGACTAGGTTTGATGGAATACTGGACTTCGGCGTCATTCTTGCTGAGGCTTTTCGGGGCTTCGCGTTTATTCTTGGGGCATTTCGTCGTCATTATTTTCTGAGTCAGCTTGATTGATCGCACGGATTTCGACGATCTGTTTTTCGAAGTTCTTTTCGACCTTTTGCAAATGGAAGAATCACGTTCGGAAGATGAGTTCATCGTTACCACTTCTTTGACGTCTTCGGATGTACGCCTGGTTGTCATCTCCTTTTCGTCTTCAGACATCATGGATTCTTCTGCAACTAATGATTAAATAAAATCCACGCGTCCTTTGAGAATGTTGTTTTTGAAGAAAGTTGGATTAGGCTATTGTAATTGATCCTGCCTTAAGAAAAAAAATTGACTTCAAATTGCAGAAAAGTCGGTATTTTAACTGATCCATGTTAAAATAAAGTACAGTATTTTCAACTTTGAATTCTGAATTTCAGCGAGGCATGATTAAAAAAAATTGTCAACGCATTTAAATCGAGTTCTTTGGAAACCCAAGCATCAGTTACAGCTTGACTTTTTTAAAGATTGAAAGGCAACGCTTACATTAAGCATCACGAATATTGAAAAATTTTCTAATTTTTTGATCAACCATCGTTTCCAGATTATGAAAACTTGAATATAAAAAAATGTTCTCTTACTTCAAATCCTGTGTACGGTAACTCTCAAATTGACTGCATGCATAAGTCATAAAACGGCAAATTTATATTATTTCCTGATTTTTATAGGACGTCCTTCAATTATAACAGTTTTTCATTAATGTAAAGTATTTGCGAATTAAAAGGAGGAACATTGTCTAGAAAATAATTTAATTTTACACTGAAAAAGTTACGCACAAAAATACACAATATCCAAAAAACCAGGATGAAATAGGGGACATTGAAGATCGATTTGAATTCGGCATGGTTAATATAATGTACTGCAAAAGCTCCCTCCCAGAAAAAATTCAAATAATTTATCGCTTGAAATGATAAGTGAGAAAGAAAAAACCAAGGGGATCAGGGTATATATAATTAAGGGTTAAATAAATTACGTGGCACACATACGAGTGAAGAGTCGAAAAATATATGCTGGAAAGGAAGAAATTGACTGAAGAACAGCATAATGCTTACAATTTAGGCGGCACATAAAGAAAACCTCTCAATATAGCTCATAACATCCACGGAGTTTTAAATACCAAACTGAAAAATTACCATCACTGGCTCTCCCGGAAGACTGATAGCTGTTATTTTTTAAAGTGCCAGGTGAAACCGGATGGAGATCAGAGGATCTGGAGGATCTCCTCGGACTTCTTTCCGAGCCAGGGCTGACAGCCTTGCAGCTGGAGGTTCGGGGTCCACTGCGAATCGACATTGGCACAGATGGCAGCGGGGTATCAGGACCCGCGCAAATTTCTCGCTTGTCCATCTCATCCTCAAGTCGCCTTTTGAATGTTTTCGAAGAACTTTCCGACCTACTGATACACACATTCTTTTTAATCATCCATCTCTGCAATTTCCATTGGTTTTTAAAATACTAGCAAATATTAAATAAGTGAGTTTAGCAGAGAAACTTTGATAATGATCAAAACCTCGAATGCGCGAGTAATGAGCATTTTTATACTGAAGAATATCAACTACAGAATTTGCAATCTACTAGATGATTCTAACCTGACCTCTCGTAGCCTTATTCAATATTGAGACGGCCTACGAAATAACTTCGCCACAAATTTTGCTGGGCAAAAATGATGCTGTCATAGAAAAAAAAAACCAGGCGACAGTTACAAAAAAAAGTAATTTTTATCGTGAAATCTTTGGACAAAATGAATTAAACGTGGGTCTATCATTTAAATTGAACAAATACATATTAGAAGAGAAACCTTAATTCACAAATGAGTTGGTTTTAAAGGACAGTAGGAGTCAAAAATGTCAGAATGAGAAAAGGTATAGCAAGTTTGCACATCAATTTTTTTGCACATTAATTCACATGCTTTTTATTTATTCTATATTTATTTTTATATATATATTTATTCTATATTTATTCTTTATTTTTTTCTATCTTATCGAATATAAGATAAGATAGAATTGCATGCATTCATGCAAAATAAAAATTCTGATAACAGTGATTTCTTCCATTTGTGAAAATGAAAGCTATGCCAAATAAAAACGTTTTCCACTTTCCTGTCAATATGCAGTACAGTACCTGCTCGGGATATTCGATGTTTTTGACTGGCTCCTGTTTGACACGGGACTCAGGGGAAGACGTGAGTCAGGTCCTGTGCAAATATCCACAAGTTCTGGTTTTAGCCTCGGGCAGAGGTCTCTCAAAGCAGATCTTTCCGCCACAATTTCCTGAATTTCGACTTCGCGTTCCACGAACGGCGATGCTCCCAGAGAGATTTCTGCTTCCGCGTTTGGAGAACCCGCCGAACTGGGTTCCCCAGACATCCTTGGAGAGTTTCCTGGCGATGTTCCTGTCATACCAGTATAATAATTTCATACAATGCAGTACCTTCTATGTACACTTTTCGCGTGGGACTCGATTGAACTTGAACCCTTATTGAAACTTAGTGCATTATTGAGAAGATTTCTTCGTTTCCCACCAGGTAAATTGTTACTGCCCGTAGTGAAACTTCAAGAACATCAACAATGAGATGAACTGCTGCTTTATCTGCTTTTAAAAAACTTCAAAATTCAGACGAACCTTTTGTTTTGTTTAAAAAAATATATATTTCAAAACGAGGGTTTTGTTTCCACTCATGCTTCACGTACTATATTAATTTACTGTTACACTTTTAATATCAGATGGAACTTTAAAATGGTTACAAGTATATAATCTACATTCAATTGGAAACCACTTCTATCCCAACGATTTTATTGTTCGAAGGCAGACCCTTTAAAATACTTCACGATGCTGTCTGCGAATACGAGAAGTCGTCAGATTTACGATGCACCGCTTGGTTTTTCAGCCTTTAATTGCCTAAAATGTCTTTTGCATTTGAATATTATGTAGCACGCCCATTTTCTAAATTATTTGCAAAAACGACTGGTGTTATCAGTCTCCTGCTTCAACGCTGACGAGGTTATGATTCAGATGCATGCAGATGCAGATGGAAGAGTAATTTCATTATATTCATGAGGTGAAATTAACAAATTAAAAATTTAAGGAAATCGACATAAAATATGTTTAAATACGTACTCACCAGCACCAATCTGATGGTCAGAGACGACGTAGGCAGATAATCCAACAGAAACTCGCGAATTATTATCCTCCGACATCGTAGCTGGAGCAGTGACAGCAGTTTCCTCTTCAGTTTTCTGCTCATTGCTGGTCACTTTGTGCAAAGTCGGCCATCTTCCGATGAGCTTCTCCGTGGAATTGGCAAAGTTGGAGACGACTGTTCGATACCCAAAGCAGGAAGTTCCGATCACGCGAACCGCTTCATTTCTCCCGCCTCGAAAAGCATTGCGTCCGGATCCGGACCGGTCGTCAATTTGTGACTTGCTGTTGGAAAATTGATCAAGTCCCGCGCTGTCCCTGTCGTTTTTCGCTGGAATGGCGTGAAATCGGTGGGGACAGGATTTGAAGGGCCTCAAGAGGGAATTCGGGGAATTTTTGCTGGAATCCGCGAGGGGTTTACGTGGCCAACGGGTTCTGAACAGGGTTCGGTCGGCCAGCGCCCGAAACGCAGCGATGCGATAATTGCTTCTCGAACTTTCCGCGCCAGCTTGGTTGTTCTATATATATATATTTATATATACATATACAGTATATATATATATATATACAAACTGGAAACGTGAACTTCCAATGCAAATATTTTTCAGGAAGCTTTCACTGTCATTTCTGCGGCATATGAAGTTTTTGCTAACAGCTGTATGTGGGTAACAAAAACTACACGTACACATTACTGTACATGTATATATACTGTAGTACGTGCTAATTAATTAACATCTACCTTGATTCAGAACAAAAATTTTCAATAGGATGAGTTTTCTGAAATATGCTGACACCTCGAACAATCCTTCCCGCAAAATTTACATTTTCAATGACATTTATATTTTTTGATGATATAGATGCTGTAAAAATCTGGGTACTTCTTAAAAACGAAATGATGATCACTTCAGGAAGAATATACTGTATATCAGTCCTTTTCTGCGATATTTTGCTCAAGAGTTTTTTTTTCTTTATTAATCTGGCGAAGTTATTTCAAGACTTGACGTTTGAGCACCAAATGAGTGCGAAACTTTCAGCATAGAGTCTTAATTTTGTTTACTCTCATACTGGATTCTATTCTCTGTAATGGTGGGTTGCAGAATTTTAAAAATGTAAGCCTTTGTTCATTTGAAACACTTTCTGGACAGTAGGATGTATGTTCATTTTTTTCCATCGAACAGTTTTTATTATAACAATAATTGAACATACAAAAACGACTTAGTAGTAGGAATATTTGTTATAAAGAGATTCGCTGTAACAATGAGATTTTACTGTTTGTAAAATGAAGGGATAGATGTTACCAATTATTTTTTGAAGGCGGTAACTCGCCGCTAAAAATTTAAACAATTCAGTCTTCGTTCAATTGAAACACCTTCTCGAAAGTAGGATCTATGCTGTTAATTTTTTCCGACTCAGTTGTAAGAGACTACTTGTTATAAAGGGTTTATTTTTAATGAGGTAATCCTGCATGATAAAATGTAAGGATAGACGTTACCAAAAATGTTTGAAGGAAACTTTTGGCGGACCCAGAAAAGCATTCATCATTCTGTTATCTTCTTTTACAGGTAACGCTGCGCCATTTTCGAAGAAATGGCAGATATTTTTTTCTAGAAATTTTTTTACTCTACTATACTCACTGGTAACCTCCAAAGATTCATGGGTGTCGCTAATAAAAATCTGAAAAGAGTTGCATTCAAGTACTTGGCATCTCGAAACATAAATTCAGGTTCATACTGTTATTTCATCCCTAACGTCGACGAAAAGATATTAGTTCCTCTTACGGCATTTTCAAGTCGGATGCATACAGTTCGATCTTCGTTTCGTTGATGTCAATAAATGACCGAACAAAAAGAACTTGCCTCATCAAAAGATACCTGCTTCCTCTGATTGACGGCAGAATCGTGCAACGTCGTTCCCCGCATTCTGTTGCTGGAATCTTCAAGTCCAGGGCAGGATTTATGCGGCACGAAAGGTGACAGTGGCCCTGGCCCCTCTCGCAAGATCACAAGAACCAGTCCGATGAAACCTGCAGCACCCAGGGCAAACAAGGACTGCATGAACCCATCGGTCCCAGGGTCCCCTTCCTGACCCGTCTTCCTTTTTGCGAGCTCTGCCAGCACCCAGCGGAACAACTCAATCGATCGCTCCATTCTTGAACAGTATCCCCGAAATTACCTCGTTTCTCCTCAAAATTTCCCCATTTTACTGCAGATTTTAGAAGAGTATTCGACAGGAATAGGAGACCGTTAAAAGTAAAGAAAGTAGAAGAGGAGGAGGAGAAAAAAAAAAGACGGAGTGGACGTCGTAATTTACGTAGGCGTAAACGAAGAATGTGATCTGGACGCTGAAAGAGACCCCAATTAACTACGCCTTGAAGCTTGAACTTTTTGCAAGTTTAACAAAAAATAATAATATCTTCAACTAAGCTTCATGGAATCTCGGTTCAAAATATTTCTGCCACCGGAACTCATCAATGTCCTACGATGCCAGAAGCTCGAAACCTTCATCGCATTGCGAAGATTTTCAGTTTGATGCGACATCTACTTGAATACGGTAATAATCTGACTTCATGGAAATTTTAGGGGATCCTCTCGTGCCGCTGGTGTCTTCATAGAGGATTCCGGCGTGGTTCTATCAACTTGCTGCACGTACAGCAATTTACATTCCTGAGCTCGTTTTCCGCAACCAAAGCACGCACCTGCCCCACTTACACACATTTNTGCTGTGTCATGTGGCCTCCTTTGCCAGCGTCATTCATTAGAGCGGTCGGAGCATCGCCGCCCGGCGCCACGGGTTCCCTAGATTTTGCAGCATTCATTTTATTTTATATATTCTGCTGCATTACATCGATGAAAGAGTTCGATCACGTTTTTGGCCTTTTTTTGCCATGTCGGTGGGTTTTTGTTGTTGTAAAATTTGAACGAACGAGCGAGCAAAGTAAAGTAAACGACGCGCGAAAAGTCATTCAAGCGTGAAAGAATGAAACACATCGAGATTTTTGGAATTTTTGCGTGTATATCAACATAAGCTGGCAACGGATCACCTGTGCAAGGCCTTTATTTTGTTTTCAGGATGTACCCACCTTTCGAATTTGAGTTCTTCGCTAGATTTTCCTGCTCCAAGAACATAGAGATTTCACATTGAAATTACAATAACTTATATTTTATGTCCTGGAGATGCCTATTTTCTGTATCTTAGACAAATCATGTACACATATCTTTCTCGGATGCTATGATTGAAATTAGATTTATGAGCACATTCGTGTTGCAGATACCATGCTTATTAGACAGTATCTTGTTTACCTGACTACCACATGCCCTAATTAAGAAAAAAAGAGTCCGAAGGTTTTTGTGACGATATAGTTTGAGAAATAAAGATCCCTGCCAGCAACGACGACAGGACTATTTTTTTTAGGAGAAAATTGCAGATTTTTCGCTCAATTCTGCAGAAAGTGTCGACTCAGCACAAGAAATCCTTTAGGCGCAAATTTTGCGGAAATACTGAATTCGATTTTAAATTACATAACGGCTTTTACTACTGCCTTCAAATTAAAACGGTATTAACTTCGTTTCCTTTCTATAAATACTGTACTGTAATGTGCCGTGACTCATTTCTGTCCTAAATGGAATCTTTACGGCTTATGGAGGACTTCTTGCTGAGGTTTTTCCTTGTGAGCATGATGATCCTGCACATTTTTCACATTTTTCAAATTTTTTGCCGTTGTGCACTTTCAGCAACCTTTTTTTCTAGCAGTTTTCTGGGAAAGCGCGAGTGCTACTTGCATAAATATTGTTAATGTACACTATATATTTCGCTAACAATTTGAATTTTCAAGTACCACAACCCAAGTGCCCGCATGCCGACAGTGCTACAAACACGCCCCAAAAAGCTAGATCAAAAGGCTTGAATTGAATTACGGCGTACTTTATTCCTTCTGTCAGTGTTTAATACTGCCAAGGGCGTAGAAAGCGTTGCTAGCGTGAAATTACGTGCTCTACAATGTAATTGCTCTGTCAACATAATCGTACCATAAGTGGGGAAATCCTGCTGGATTAAGAGAATGATTCACAGAAGCCGGATATGGAGACTTAAGCAGAAGATATGCTGCTTTGATCATCATATGAAAATACTGTAGTTCCTCCGTGAGCCTCAGAACTTTACATGTGGGTATCGCGTACATCAGTATTCTTATTCAAGCACTTGGAAAGGTTATGGAGGAGAAATTACATGAATTAAAGATGTTTCTCCGCTTGAGTGGTAAACGGTCGAGGAAAAGACTTCATAGATCGACTTAAAATGTAGGTGTAACACACGAAATCGTGGAGAAAAAGGAAGTATAAGGAATACTTTCGTGGGTTTAAGGCATGGTTATCGAAGCAACTGCAGCTCTTTTGCTCAAATATAGCGTGTATCCGAAAATACCGACCTTGTTCAAGTATTTCTTGTGGTGTTATCAAATAAAACTAAATATAGTAATTATGAGATGTTATTAAAATTCTATTATGTCTTCTGAATGCAGTGCGTATATCCACAACACAACCACTCAATTTTCAAAAGCTATTCTCCAAGACTGTTTGCAACCTCGAAATGTGTCCGCAGCTCCAAAAATAACTGTGAATTCCACATACAGTAATCTTGTTCTAATCCAGTATTTTATAAAACCTGAGCCACTCAAAAATTAGTTTTTATCTGAACCCATGCCCATGAACAATTGATCACACAAAAGAATAAAATATCTCGCACGCATTCTGGTGATTTTCATTTAAAAGACCTGAAATAGAAGTTCCTCGACTTCAGCTCGTAAAATACGCATACATTTTTTTTTTCAAAGAACTCTAGTCCACAAAACCACACGATCACAGGAAATGAGCTGGCTGTAGAAATTTTAAGAAAATAGAAATTCCAAGATTATCAATATCACATGCTCAATACTGAAAATTAGGAATTTCGTCGGAATTCTCTCGATTCTCCGTCGGCTAGAAGGGTAAATTAAATTAGATACTTTTCCAATTATCAAAAGTTTAATTTATCAAATCCCAACGAAAAAAAAGTACGGTGAACCATACGAGCGTATTGCTCCAATTCATCATCGCAGGTTCAATAGACGCAAGTTATAAGGACGAAAGTATCTCTTTTTTTTGTCTTGCTGAAAACTTCGAAAGTGGTTCGAGGAACAAGAAGCCGGAAAGAAGGTTTTCCAAGAAAAACACGAACCTGTCAGGGTTATGGTACGCGCCACCACGGGTGACAATAGTACCGGGTTTCATGACCGGTTTCACGGACATGGTCTTATTTGTTGATCGCCTCGCCGCCAGGTACTCGCCGGAAGTCGGATCTGCAAAATTACTTCCGCCATCTTGGACGAAGTGTTGCTGCGGTTGGGGACCACCCACAAACATGAAACCCAACGCACCACCCATTAGTGTTCCGGTTGCGAGCCCCATCAAGAATCCGCTGATGTCTTCGAGTCCCATTGTTCTAAGAAAATTGAAAATAAGGGTTGTCTATTATTGTTACCCGTAGAAAAGAGAGGAATGCAGTTTACTCATTATTGTTTTACACCCAAGTTTTTCTTCTCCAAACAGTTTTATTTTTTATCAGGTCAGATGACATGGAGTTCAATATTTCAGTATGCAATTATTGCATCGACATTTTGACAGTATGAACCTGTATTAGGCTAAAGCTATATAATTATATTTCTTACTTTGGCTTTTGCCTCATCTATTCATTGAGTTCAAGATTTTTTGGGATCCTGCTTGAAAACTTGATCGTATTTTCCTCCTAACCTCCCTATACTTGCATTATGCATAAGTTTTTCAAAATTCCAGAAGAACATGCGGCACGAAGAATGTGATAGATGCTCACAAAAAATTCTCCCATAATCTGATGGCATAAATTATTTGCTGAATTACACTTGCCCTCAAGTAAAAGGCGTACAGTGATATTTCAGCAGAAAATTAGGGTAAAAATATCCAAGTAGGATGCACACCCCATTTATTGACTGAAAATTTGCACACAAAAAAAACCATACGTTCAAAAAATGCATTCGGCTCAAATTGAACCGCTATTCAAGTGCTTCAAAGCTGGTCTCACGTACCTTTTTCATGCGTGATTCCAGTATCAAACAATATCCGATTTAAAAGAAAACGAAAGCTTCATGTCTGTCTATGATCGCACACCTCTTATTTCCAGGCATCATTCATTGGAAAGACTTTTCCATTTTTTTAACATTATAAAAACTGAGAACAGTCAACGCTTTTTTCGTATCTTCAAATAATTTCATCGATCAGGAAAACCGCCGAGAGAAGCTGGGTTCATATAAATTCTCAAAAGATTCCCTCAACTCCTCGAAAGCTTCATTTACTGCCATCGAATTTTGCCTCCAAGGCTTTTGGCAAACAGTGGCTTCCACAGCTCGAAGCCAAATACCACGACGTGAACATGCGTTTATTCATCTCCAGAAATAGACACACAAATAATCTTAAAGCGTTCCATTCAAACTAAAGAAAAACATCCGAGCTAGCTTGAAAAAATCAAGCAGATTTATAAATGAAACCAAGNGCTAGATCAAAAGGCTTGAATTGAATTACGGCGTACTTTATTCCTTCTGTCAGTGTTTAATACTGCCAAGGGCGTAGAAAGCGTTGCTAGCGTGAAATTACGTGCTCTACAATGTAATTGCTCTGTCAACATAATCGTACCATAAGTGGGGAAATCCTGCTGGATTAAGAGAATGATTCACAGAAGCCGGATATGGAGACTTAAGCGGAAGATATGCTGCTTTGATCATCATATGAAAATAATGTAGTTCCTCCGTGTGCCTCAGAAGTTATAACATGCATGTTGGTATGGTGTACATCAGTATTCTTATTCAAGCACTTGGAAAGGTTATGGAGGAGAAATTACATGAATTAAAGATGCTTCTTCGCATGAATGGTCGGGGAAAAGACTTCATAGATCGACTGAAAATGAAGGTGTAACACACGAAATCGTGGAGAAAAAGGAAGTACAGTATCAGGAATATTTTCTTGGTTTTAAGGCATGGTTATCGAAGCAACTGCAGCTCTTATACTCAAAAATAGCGTGTTTCCGAAAATACAGACCTTGTGCAGCTATTTATTATTTTGTATTATCAAATCAAACTAAATATAGTAACCAAGAGATGTTCTTAAAATTCTCTCATGTCATTTGAATGCAGCATACATCCACAACACAACCACTCAATTTTCAAAAGCTGTTCTCCAGACTGTTTGCAACCTCGAAATGTGTCCGCAGCTCCAAAAAGAACTGTGAACTCCACATAATCGTTTTCTAATCCAGTATTTTATAAAACCTGAGCCACTCAAAAATTAGTTTTTATCTGAACCCATGCTCATGAAAAATTGATCACACAAAAAAATAAAATGTAACGCACGTATTCTGGTGATTTTCTTTTAAAAGGCCTGAAATATAAGTTCCTCGACTTCAGCTCGTAAAGTACGTATAATTTTTTTTTTAAAGAACTGTAGTCCACAAAACCACACGATCACAGGAAATGAGCTGGCTGTAGAAATTTTAAGAATATAGAAATTCCAAGATTATCAATATCACATGCTCAATACTGAAAATCCGAACTTTCGTCGGAATTCTCTCGATTCTCCGTCGGCTGGAAGGGTAAATTAAATTAGATACTTTTCCAATTATCAAAAGTTTAATGGATCAAATCCCAACGAAAAACAAGTACGGTGAACCATACGAGCGTATTGCTCCAATTCATCATCGCAGGTTCAATAGACGCAAGTTATAAGGACGAAAGTACAGTATCTCCTTTTTTGTGCCGTGCTGAAAACTTCGAAAGTGGTTCGAGGAACAAGAAGCCGGAAATGAGGTTTTCCAAGAAAAACACGAACCTGTCAGGGTTATGGTACGCGCCACCACGGGTGACAATAGTACCGGGTTTCATGACCGGTTTCACGGGCATGGTCTTATTTGTTGATCGCCTCGCCGCCAGGTACTCGCCGGAAGTCGGATCTGCAAAATTACTTCCGCCATCTTGGACGAAGTGTTGCTGCGGTTGGGGACCACCCACAAACATGAAACCCAACGCACCACCCATTAGTGTTCCGGTTGCGAGCCCCATCAAGAATCCGCTGATGTCTTCGAGTCCCATTGTTCTAAGAAAATTGAAAATAAGGGTTGTCTATTATTGTTACCCGTAGAAAAGAGAGGAATGCAGTTTACTCATTATTATTTTACACCCAAGTTTTTCTTCTCCAAACAGTTTTATTTTTTATCAGGTCAGATGACATGGAGTTCAATATTTCAGTATGCAATTATTGCATCGACATTTTGACACTATGAACCTGTGTTACGCTAAAGCTATATAATTATATTTCTTACTTTGGCTTTTGCCTCATCTATTCATTGAGTTCAAGATTTTATGGAGTCCTGTTAGAAAACTTAGACTGTATTTTCCTCCTAATCTCCCTATACTTGCATTATGCATAAGTTTTGCAAAAATTCCAGAAGAACATGCGGCACGAAAAATGTGATAGATGCTCACAAACAATTTCTCCCAAATGCTGATGGTATGAATTATTTGCTGAATTAGACTTGCCCTCAAGTAAAAGGCGTACAGTGATATTTCAGCAGAAAATTAGGGTAAAAATATCCAAGTAGGATGCACACCCCATTTATTGACTGAAAATTTGCACACAAAAAAAAACCATACGTTCAAAAAATGCATTCGGCTTCAAATTGAACCGCTATTCAAGTGCTTCAAAGCTGGTCTCACGTACCTTTTTCATGCGTGATTCCAGTATCAAACAATATCCGATTTAAAAGAAAACGAAAGCTTCATGTCTGTCTATGATCGCACACCTCTTATTTCCAGGCATCATTCATTGGAAAGACTTTTCCATTTTTTTAACATTATAAAAACTGAGAACAGTCAACGCTTTTTTCGTATCTTCAAATAATTTCATCGATCAGGAAAACCGCCGAGAGAAGCTGGGTTCATATAAATTCTCAAAAGATTCCCTCAACTCCTCGAAAGCTTCATTTACTGCCATCGAATTTTGCCTCCAAGGCTTTTGGCAAACAGTGGCTTCCACAGCTCGAAGCCAAATACCACGACGTGAACATGCGTTTATTCATCTCCAGAAATAGACACACAAATAATCTTAAAGCGTTCCATTCAAACTAAAGAAAAACATCCGAGCTAGCTTGAAAAAATCAAGCAGATTTATAAATGAAACCAAGCGACAATCTTTTTTCACACGGATTTGCATAGTTCCAGCTAATTACCTGCAAAAAGCACTCTTCTACGCATTTTCGGCGAAATCGCGAACTTTTAATAATCTTCACTGCTGTCATCAAAAAGTTTGCATGGCAAGCCCACGCCTTCAGGCTAAATAGCAAGATGTGAACTTGTGCCAAAAACTGATCGGAACAAGACAAAGTTCGGAAGATGATAGAATGAAAGTACAGATACCAAACTTATTTATAAATTTAATGATACAGTATATTGTTTTGGGTTTATTTTTGGGGAATAACTCCCATTTGAAAAGCCTCTGATATAATGATATGACCATATAATCCAGCATTTCTGACACCGCGATCGGAACATTGAGATATTTAAGGTGAGAACTTCGGAAAATTGATGCTGCTTATGATGCTACCATCATTAACAGTAAGCTGGCCCTGTAAAATGAATAATTTCCTAATTTAATTTCCCGAAGCTACGGACGTAACGCAAGCGAAGTAGAAACTGGAGGCTCGAATTATATTTGATGTAATCTTATTTTCTAAACCCCATTGGAATTGACCAGTTCATTTACCTTTTCTTGCTTAGTTTTCCACAGAAACCAACAAAGTAGATCGACCAGCAACTAACTCTTGGCTTACTTCCAGAAAGCCAATTCGTGGGACGAAGTCTTCGGTTGCTTCCAGCACATCACCTCGGGGAAAGTACGACGTAACCCCCCGGGAAGGGAATTTTGTACAAGTACGGATAAGAAGCCAAGATGAAACACTTTCACAATCTTCTAATATTCTGCGCATTGACAATAATCGCCGGAGGGAGTTGGTCAATCCATGCAAGTCTTTCCGAATATTTCACAGTGAAAAACGAGCTTCAGGATGTTATGAAACGATTCTCCCGCTCAGTCTTGAACTTTTTGTGCTTGACGACCTCATAAAAAATGGATATACAGTAGCTTCATTTCATGGCTTTCAGGAAATGTGAAACTTCTGAGTTTCGACTCCAGGGATATAGTGTACGTATAAATATATTAGGCATTTGAATTGTACCTTTTATATACACTCCATGTATAACTTCATTCCTCCGGTTGGCTGTAAGACACGTGGCTTTACTATTGAGCCTCGAAGTACGGATATACATTAATTGGCGATAAAATTAGCAAACCATTTAAAAAAAGTCCCCGCGAGATCAACGTTAAAAAATACAGACCATAATTTTAGATAATTCTATCAGAATGAGTTCATTTCTCCGTCTCACGAACGAATGCCTAGAGATGAACTTGAATGCAATACTGTTCAGTACGGCATGTTTTCGTTTTTTTTATAATCTTTTTTTGTAATGCAACACGTTATCACAGCGCTGCCCTTGTTAAACATGTAAATACTATTTAAAAAAAAAGTATTCATCAAAGCCGGGCCAGTTGATCTCTTGTTGCAAGAAAGAAAAAAGAAACGGTCATTTTTCGAGTACTGTGCCATGTTTTTGCAGTGAAGGAGAACCGAACCTGAATATAGTAATTAGATTCCGACGCTTTCTCGCAGCCTTTGAGGATTATAGTATTGATTAATTGGATTATAGATCAAGATGAATCTCTTGGAGGTTTTATTTCGAACGTTCTCGCGTAATATTCGGAAATTACGCATCAACATTCGCCAGAAGACTGGCAACTTATTGCGAAGCTGCTTCAACATTCTACACAAGGAACGCATTTCTGATGAAACATTTCTTGAGGGCTTATTAATTTACTTCGAATAATTACTCGTGATTATTTGGTTCATGATTCAAATAATGCCCCCTCAAAAAGCAGGAGTTTAGAAACCCGGGTTTAGTACAACTTTCACGAGCACGTTTATCCTTTCAGAATTATTTCGTACACACGAACTTGACAACTGCTCTCATGATAAAACATATTTCATTGAATTACTGACTGATACCGTACTGTTTCTGAATTAAGGTACATGCATAAAGAAAAAAATTGCACAGAAAAGGTCGACCATCACATTCACGGTTGACAAAGTTGAAAATTTTCAATTTGAATTTTATTCGGCAAGATTTTTTCGATTTCACTTCGGCAAATTTTACTGGTCAAACATGCATGAAAAGTTCTTTAGCATCTCATCCAAGGTTTCATTCAATGTAGCCTTTGAATTGTACGAATAAAAACGTGGCTTTTTCTTTGTATAGGCCGAAAAATCCCTTGTAGCTGTCGAAAGTTCTTGAAGTGCTCAAATGCATCATTCATAAGTGGTACATCCGGCAGGAAATCGGTTTAGATATCTGTCCAAAATCTGCTACGTTTATTAATCTGTTACTGTTCTGTTCTGGATAAGAAATATTTCCCGTCATTCAGGTTAATGTGGCGTGACTCAAGCCCATTTTGAATCTGGAATTTATTCTTTTCCACAAGCCGCTATTCCGCGTCATTCCGCGAAAACATTTATTCTAGTCGATCGAGTTCACGTCGAAAAGCGGATGACATCGGGTCGATAAAATCGGAAGAACAGAGGCCTGACGAACGAACGAATCCCAGGCCCAGGGATCGATCTGACAAAAGTCTAAGAAATCACAAGCTTGCCATCATCATAGTCATCACCATTTCCGAGAAGTGACGTGACGGAAGGAAGGAGAGGAAAACGTGAAACTTTATGGTGGTGCCATACACACGAGGGTGTGGGCTACATTGAGAAAAAAACAAAAATTGGCTGCTTTTACTCGAATTCACAGCAAGTGCGAAACATGGGGGGCGAAGAGGAAATGCTTCCTTTTCGCAGACCACTTTGGGTCATTTCGCACGTCGGAATCACACTGGAAACGGAGCTGAGATGAGTCGAGGCAACGCGGAAATCTCAGCGAGATATTTTCCGAGAGCCTGACGTTGAGATTATACATTATTTCTTATTTTCTCTTTCCTCCCCCCCCCCCCCCCTATTTTCGCTCCTCCCGCCGACATCGACATCGACAACGTCGAGAACGTGCGGCATCCGTAGTCGCGTGCCTGTTTTCGCGCCGAACGGTCACAATGTACTTTTTTCCCCTGCAAAATTAAGCTGTGTATGTGTAAATTTGCATCACACTAGTTCAGTCAGTCAGGAGTTTTATTTAAAAGTCTGAATAAAAATTAGCAGTGGAGCCTGTGCATTACCAAGTTTCTCCTATTGTTCATAGATTATTTTATCGATTAAATGTGATGTCCGAAAATTCGTCGTAGAGGTGAGCATTTTTTTCAGATGCGAAAAGTAAAAAAAAAGACACGCTGAAATATAATCCGACATTTTTCAACTTTTTCGGCCAGAAATGTTTGGTTTTATGAATTGAATACAACCTACAAATGATTAGAAAACAAATTGACAAGCGGGAAGATCAGATAAAATACGATTTTTAAATGCTGTGCAGAAAAAAATCAATCATGCAAATTAAAGTTGTTTAACGGAATGAATTATTGATAGTGGGTAGGGCTTTTTCAAATGTCAAGGTGTTGGCGCTATAGAATCTGATAAGTTGACAAGTAAAAATAATTTTGACTCAAGTCTCCATAATAATGAGCTTCTGAAATGCATCATCTTCGAAGGCAACGATTCAACCATCAACCCTTTTCAAAAGTATATTTCAATGAATGCCTATAGAAATGTTTTCCTGTAGATTTCATGCAACACCTGTTGAATCGGGTCGTAATGAAATTCAACTTTCGCCCTACGCATGCATACATTATATTTTCAACCCATTTTAAAATTTTCAAAGATTGTTCTTTACTTTTGTTACAGAACCTGAGAGTTTGCTTTAGAAAACCTGGTCACGTACGAAGAAAAAATGAAGGAATATGGCCAAGGTCTCAATTTGTAGATAACGTTTACGCAGATCATGCAAATATTTTGAATTATTTTTTGCAACATTCCTCAATTTTCGGAGTGGCAAAAACAGACCCAAATGTGGCCCATGTCAGGGAATGGGTTGAAGGCCGAAAAAACTTCCATTTGGGTGGGATAATGCAGATTCCGGAAAATTGAAAAGAAATGCTTGTAAACTTTGTTTTTTGTGTGTCTCAATTCTTATTGAGAGAAGCCATGTTCAATTTTAGGTTAATCTTTTTTGAAGCTTTTACAATTTCCCACAATATATTGCTGACCAGGTGGCCGGGGATCTTCTCTCTCATCATTCCAAATCAGAGATATAATCGCAGTTCGAGAAACAGATGGATATGTTTACTTTTTCGAGGAGAACACTTCTATACGAGTATAGGTGATCCCGCTGAACAGTGCGAACGTATAGAGGAGAGAGCGTCATTGGCTGGATTTGCGAGACGCACGCCGACTTGTCTGACACTCTGTTTGTAGCTGGATGTCTGCTCACGTCAATATCCGCTCAATCATTATTGGCAGGCAGAAAATAAAAGCAGAAAACGGGGTTGACTGCACAAGACTTTCTTTCTTTGAAGCAGTTTTACTCTGCAATATTGAGAGAATGAAATCGCGAGGTGGTTTTTCGTCGTCTTCCGAGAAAGTGAACTTGTTTCGCTGGACCGGAGTTTGAGAAGCGTTCCGCATATAATGCGTGCATTATACAGCATTACCATAAAGTTATCAATCACACGGACTTTGGAAACTTCGTTGTCTTAATGAAATTCGGTTTCTTTCTGAAAATATAAGAGCGGATCTCCGATACTTCATCAAGTTTGATGCCTGACTCGGGAATTATTAGTTGATTCAAAAAGTTGTTTCTGATATGGCTTCCATGCTACAGGTTTTTATGCTGGCATCGACACTGGAATTGTTCAAAGATGTTTTTTTTAAAGATTTATTACTACAGAGTTATGGGTTGAAAAAAGAAATGTAAAGGCTGAAAAAAATTCGTTCTTCTTTAGTTAAAACACGTAGCATGGCTTGATGGTCTTTTTTTGTGGCAAGGATTTCAATTGATCTGACGTTAATTTAGATATGAACTCAACTGATTGAATTTTCGTTTGTTTGTTTTCACTTATTTACAGGTGAAACTGTTTTAAGAATTTGACTGGGGATTATAAGTTTTGTGGCATACTATAGGAGTATAGGGTTCAAAAATCATTCGCCATAGTTTTTTTAGGTTCTGAAGTTTTATTTGTAAATTTTGCTGCATGGGATTTTCGCTGAAGTCAGCAATTTTGAAATTTAATCGAAGTTTAGGGAATATATCAAAAATATGTTTTCAATCAGTGTGCTTCTTTGCTTCTATATCCCCAAATAAAAATCCCTCGTTTATCTAAAATATGGATATATTCAAGCAATGCAATTTTCGTGAGAGGGATTCCCCAAGATTATGATGTTCTTGGCGTTAAATTTTTTTCATCCATGCCAGCGTCAGAATATAAATCAATCATATGTGGACGAAAATCGCCCCTCTGCTCTGGACGCACTACGAGGTTTTGGTAAGGCCTTTTACGCAGCCAACGCGGTTGAACAGTGAAGGATAGACTTGGGTACACCAGACAATCAGTGATGATGATTTATTTCCTCTAACGTTGGTTAAAAGTTCAAATTTCGTTCAGTGGTTAAAAATAAAATACGGTGCACCGGTGCGACCGTTCGCTGGGAAACTCTGACTCTCTCTCCATAACTTCGCGGAAAACACGGAAATTCGCGAACACAAAAAAACCGGATCGCGCGAATTCTTCCAACAAAAAGGTTCCACGCTGGAAGCTCCAGCATGGAGGGAAAGAAAAAAAGGGCAGCTTCCCGATGACCCTCCAGAAAGGGCAAGCCTGTTTCCTTTTCCTTTTTTTCCTTCTTGTGTCTCTGGTGGCTGTGGGGACCTGAACAAACAAGAAAGACCAGACACACACACACACACACTCTAATTTTCCAAAGAGTAACTTTAATATTCAGTTACANAGCGTCATTGGCTGGATTTGCGAGACGCACGCCGACTTGTCTGACACTCTGTTTGTAGCTGGATGTCTGCTCACGTCAATATCCGCTCAATCATTATTGGCAGGCAGAAAATAAAAGCAGAAAACGGGGTTGACTGCACAAGACTTTCTTTCTTTGAAGCAGTTTTACTCTGCAATATTGAGAGAATGAAATCGCGAGGTGGTTTTTCGTCGTCTTCCGAGAAAGTGAACTTGTTTCGCTGGACCGGAGTTTGAGAAGCGTTCCGCATATAATGCGTGCATTATACAGCATTACCATAAAGTTATCAATCACACGGACTTTGGAAACTTCGTTGTCTTAATGAAATTCGGTTTCTTTCTGAAAATATAAGAGCGGATCTCCGATACTTCATCAAGTTTGATGCCTGACTCGGGAATTATTAGTTGATTCAAAAAGTTGTTTCTGATATGGCTTCCATGCTACAGGTTTTTATGCTGGCATCGACACTGGAATTGTTTAAAGATGTTTTTTTAAGATTTATTACTACAGAGTTATGGGTTGAAAAAAGCAATGTAAAGGCTGAAAAAATTTCGTTCTTCTTTAGTTAAAACACGTAGCATGGCTTGATGGTCTTCTTTTTGTGGCAAGGATTTCAATTGATCTGACGTTAATTTAGATACGAACTCAACTGATTTAATTTTGGTTTGTGTGTTTTCACTTATTTACAGGTGAAACTGTTTTAAGAATTTGACTGGG